TACCTAACTCTCTAATATTTAACTTGATTATATCATTTGTCAAAATAAGTAACTTATTTTTAACTATTTGCCGGAATATCGTATCAATTCCTTCTTCATTCTTCAACAATAAATTTCAGTAATTCAAAGTGATACAATCAAATGAAAACATTATTTGGATGACAAATCATACTGTCAAGAATTGATGGTAAAGTGTTCACAGAATTGCTCTGCATCGGTGGAGAGACCTGGAGAAAAGCAGCTTCAATATTAACACAAGAAAAACCAACTGTTAACATTCCCGCATGGCATGGGATGTTTGGTAATGTGAGTTGAACAACACTGAGTAGTACTACTGAAAGAAAAATGAAATTACAATTTGATAGGCCAAAGCTCCAGCGCAATAAGGTAAAAAAAGGGCCAAAATGATAGTAGGAGAGTTACGTTTAAAATGTATCTCAATGTAAAACTAAAATCACATCCCACGTGAAAGTGTGTTCATACATATGTTGACACAAGTGTGACAATGCTTGAAATCGGACGACATTGATGAAATGCATGATTAAAAAGTTAATAAAAATTATTGATTACATAAAATGTTATTGAAAATGAATTTTTGAAAATGGGAATAGGATGACAAAGATATAAGGTAAGATAAAGATAATTCACTTAGGATGCGTTTAATTGCGAGTATGAAATTTTTACGGAAACAATATAAATTGTAAGTTTATATGTAAATTATTAATTAAATGTGTTCGATTGATTTAGTTTTCAACCTAAAAAATATGATACTTATTCATTTTTTATTGGTGGGTAATATCAGGGGGATAGATGAGAGAGTAAATTATCTGAAAAATAAAAAGCACCCCTCCCTAAAGGAAACGTTTTCCTCATTTTTGAGGAAAATATGATCACGTGACAAAGAGTTGAAAAATATTTTTCATGGAAAAAATTGTAAATCAAATACTCCAAAACTAGGGGTAGGAAAATGATATTTTTCATAAAAATAAAGTCAATCAAACACACGACAGAAATGAAAAAGTGACAACATAGTCTACTAGAGAGGGAGAAAAACGAAAGGAAAGGTTGAACTACTATCTTCATTAATACTAGCTAATGAATCGGCTTTTGAAAGCCGAAGGTCTAATTCTGCCAAAGAAAACTCATGATTGGAAAGCCGAAGACCCTCTTCAAAATGACTGGAGATTTTATAATGTAATTTTTTTCGAAACCTTACGATTTTAGACCTTTACACGTTCTAAAGTTCGAGTAAGCTGTCTCCTACTTTGTTCAAAGGTTCGAAATATAATGTGCAGAAAGCTCTAGTTAATTCAGGACCTTCCACAAGGGAAAAACATGTAAATTCATCAATTCAAGTGAAACGAATCCTTAAAGTTCTACTATGAAGAATAGAGAATTCAAAACAAAGGCAAAGAGCTATACCTTCAACATGTGGGGCAAAGATAGAAACAAGTAACACGTCGTCTTGGCTTCGACCTGCAAACACATACCGCCACCACTACAAGAAGAATCAATACGAGATATAAAGTAATGTTTGGTCCACCATCCTCGGATTCACAGCAAAGCTTCACCATAATGTTTCTTCTCTGCTTGATGTGTCTTGTGAAATTTGCACTTGAATGTAATGAAATAATGTATGAAACTTTAGACTAATTTAAAAGGCAACTGGAGAATTTTTTATAATTTTGAAGGTTCGTACATGGTATTTTATAAGGTCATGTCCTTTAGTAAATGTTTTGTAGTAGTTATGCTATTATTAAAGGTTGAACCTCAACCTCGACGCACCTCACCGTCCCGCCCCTAGAGTATTGTGGAAGAGATAAATGGCGAGATGTGCCTCAACAGACCAGGATACAAGAGCTGTCATATCGGCGCTCACAAAGAGTCCAATTTCATACCTTATAAAAGGTAGGAATCGAACCATCACACTGCGACTGCCAGCTCAACTAAGACTACCTCACTCCTGTCATTTGCAACACTTAGCTATATCCCGGGGGCATTATGCTATTATTAGTCAACCAATGGCAAATTAACTCTTTTATAATATAGGATTCTTTATTCAACCAATTACACTTTTCTAGTAATTTTTTAAACAGATAATTTGTTTGTCTTCGGAATCTTTCTTTATTTTAGCGAAG